AATATTTTATTAATAACGACAAATAATATTTGTAAATTTACTAAAAGGCGTCTTTAGTCTAGTTTACTAAATAAAATTTAATTTGTATATTATATTACTATTTTAAATTATTATAAGGTTAAGTACTTAGTAGTAATTTAAATACCTGCCTTGCGATTCCGTAACTCACTTTTCGAACTCTCATAGCGGTTTTCGCATCGGCGGTCGCTCTCAAATCAGTAGTGAAGCAGTCATTTTATGATTTGGCATTCTGATTAGGTGGGATCTTTTAGTTTATTGTTTATAAATGACTGATTTGAGAGCGACTGCCGATGCGTAAACCGCTGTGTGAGTTCGAAATGTGAGTTACAGAATCGCAAGGCAGGACTACGAACTTAAACTTAAATTAACTGCAATAAATACTTCATGAGAAATTCTAACTCATTCCATAACGTTTAAAAAGTAACGATAGGTTACACCAGGCGCAAGCTCTATAGTTTCAAAAATCGAACGTGATGCAGTGTAAAAGTGTTCTATAGAATAAAGTTTCAAAAATCGAACGTCATTCAGTGTAAAAGTGTTCTATAGAGCAAAGTTTCAAAAATCGAACGTCTTCAGTGTAAAAGTGTTCTATAGAACAAGTTTCAAAATCTAACGTCATTCAGTGTAAAAGTGTTCTACAGAACAAAGTTTCAAAAATCGAACGTCATTCAGTGTAAAAGTGTTCTATAGAACAAAGTTTCAAAAATCTAACGTCATTCAGTGTAAAAGTGTTCTATAGAACAAAGTTTCAAAAATCGAACGTCATTCAGTGTAAAAGTGTTCTATAGAACAAAGTTTCAAAAATCGAACATCCTTCAGTGAGATCACGAACGTGCGAAACCCTAATAAAAAAGATGTGGCAAGTAATAGAAATGAGATAATTAAAGGCGAGATGTCTTCGCGTTCGTATGACGTCACTAATCCCCCGCACCACGATAGTGCAGATACTGAATTTTAATCAGAATCGATCGCATTTGCCCTACATTTAGCAAGGGACTCACGTACAATGACCTAGCCGATGTTTTTATTGGTAGGGTGCCATGTGTTCGTGCTGGTAAACACGGAGTGATGCGTTGGATTGACTTAGGCATATTAGCTAAATGGTTTTTTTATTAATAATACGACTAATTAATTAAATTTAGCTTCAATAAGTCGATAGTTTTTGCCAGAATTTATTTATATTTCTTTGTCTTTCAAACGAATTGAACGAATCTACAAAATAAATAAAATATTTACCTGAAGCAAAACGAGTTCATTGTCCATTTGTTAATCTGAAACTTCAATGTCAAGATCGTGGAGACACCTGTCGAGAAAAAGTGGAAATCACGAATTATCCAATGAAGACAGTTTTCTGGTTGATCTAGTGCGGTCAAACGTTCGTGGGCGAAGCGGAGCAATATTAACTGAAACTTAGAAGATTCTAATTTGATTTTTTTACTATTAATCCTCGTTAGAACAATAAACCCTTATAAGGCATGTTTTCGCGTGTAAAATATGTATGAACTATAAATTTATCATAAGGTATTTAAGCTTTTGAATTAAGGAAACACTTGGGATAAAATATACTCCGAGATACTTATTACACGAAATTCTAGAGTACAGTCAGTATAATAAGATCTTACAAAGCCTTACATGTAATCGCATTCTAGCATCGAGAGTCTGTGGTCGGTGGTTTTAAGTACGAGGTGTGTTCTCTGCCCGCTTCGTGTACAAAAGATACGTATGCAAGATCGCTGTCGCTCCGCTCGTGACACTATTCACACCCCGCGTACCATTGCGTCCACGATACAACGCGTGACCGTGTCCACTAAAACGATCTCTTTATTGATTAAAAGATGTTTACCGTAACCGCCTCAGAAACAGACGTTAACGGAATTAAAAATAAAGGATTCGTATTTCTGTTTCAACATTTTTCTGTACCTATATAATATAGGAACCGCGGAGGTGTATCTGGCCACCTAAAACACTGGGATGTTATTATGGGGACTATCATCTGTATGATTAGCTACCACATAATTTGTCATTTTTAAATAAATAAATAAAAAACAAAAATTATCTAGTCTACCGTCTACCGCTGTCTTCGTCGTATTCTGGGCATCAACTGGCCTGAAAAGATCTCTAATGAGCAACTTTGGGAGCGCTGCCGAGAAACCCCGCCAGCAGATCAAGCGACGCAAATGGAATTGGATAGGCCATACACTCCGAAGGGATCCCAATCATATTCCCTAGCAGGCGCTTGAGTGGAACCCGCATGGAAAGCGGAAGAGTGGCCGTCCCAAGCCAACCTGGCGCCGTAGAGTTGCAGACGAAGCAAAGAGAGCCGGAAAGACTTGGAGCGAGGTAAAATACGAGGCTCAAGACCGAACGCGATGGAGACTCTCTGCGGACGCCTTCTGCCCCATCTAGGGGTTATTGGACATTAAGTCAAGTCATTTAGTCTAGTAGGTAGTCGTGGCATTTGCTGCAGGGCTAAAAAAAATTTTTTTTTTATGTTCACAATAATGTGGTCTGTGATGTCATTATATTTCGACGGGAAATTTTATTATGAAAAAACTAATAGTAGGTACCTACGCTTCATCTTCTTTTACTGCCTCTCCATTACTGAAGGTTGGCCGTGTCCTGTGCCAGATGCAACAACTTTTCCGCAGTCGCAATACCCGTCCACTCCTTAAGTGGTTTTGGAAGATTTAAATATTTGATTAATTATGTTTGAACATCTGTAAGCATTTTCAACTGTAAAAGGTAGAACGACAAATATACATAAGACAGTTATTTAATAATTATAAGAGCCTTCAGTCTGCGTTGAAAGTAAGAGACCTACAGCTACAAACTTTTTTTTGTTCTTTTTTTTTAAATTAGAAATATAAAAATCTGCTTTAGCGGATTACGAGAGAAACGTCACATTCGTATTTCTTAATGTGGAAATCACGTCCTGTATAGGTACCTACTGAAACAAGTATTATTTGATATTTATACGAATTTTATCGATATACACATTCTAAATAATACATCCAAATCTAAATTGAAACCACAGCAAGCATAAAGGGCATAGGAACGCAACTAATGCGTCTAACACTGGTCAAATGGCTAATGTCGACCGGAAGCCGCAAGCATCCCACTTCCGGGAAATGACCCCAATCCTCCAGCGGTATTGATCATACACTGATTTATTGTTTTAGGTATTACGAATAATGTAATAATGATTTAAATTACATGCCATTGAGTGCGTTTAAATGGTAAGTACATGCAAAGGGTTTTTACCTGTAATTATTTAGCATAAGCGGCCTTCTGCCGCATGTTTCGTAAGTTTTTTTATATTTTGGAAAAAAAATGCCCAATATAGCGTTAAAATTTTGAAATCGGTCAAGTAGTTTTTAAATTTATTCATTATAAACATATAAATTATTACTCTTTATAATATTAGTACAGATAACATAGTCCAAAGATAGAGGCATAATTTTGTGTTTTTTTTCAGTTAAGTAGCAACTTATTACATAATAGGTGATCTGCTTTCACAAGGTTGCAAGATTATTTTAACTTATTAATTAATACTCTCGCGCTTGATATTTTTCTAGCGTCTTAGTTACCTGTTAGTTTATTTCTGGTCGTAGATATTAAAAGTGTTTATAATTTTTAAATATGTATTGTCTTCAAGGTTAGTGAAATAGGTATGGAAGTGTCGTTAACTTGGAGCCACGCCCGCGCGAGAATAGATCAATACCTGAGATCCCGCCGTGGGTATAAAACATATATAGCTTTTTATACCAGCTAGCTATACTCGTATAATCAGCTAGTATAGGTTTTATACTAGCTGATACCTGCAACGTTGCTTGCTTGGCATGCGACATTTTTATTTTTTTATGATACAGCATACAAAAATACATACAACCCTTAATTTTCACCCCTCTACGATCAACCCCTACTTTTTATTATTGTAGATAGTTATTTTTATTAAACTAAAAAAATGTTTCCTAGAAATAATATACATGGCAAAACAAACGTTTGCCGGGTCAGCTAGTAGGTACAATATACTTTATTATTTTTCAATGTTGTTATACAGGCTTCGTGTGTTCTTATGGGAATGTGTGACTTGTTTCTACTTTGATTAAATAGAATTTTTAGGTTCAAAGGTCAATTTAGACGATTATTAAATTGGTTTATTTATTTAGCTATTACAATAACACTGTACAATACAAGAGTTTTTCTTGTTATGTATCAAGTCAATGCAAGCAACGTATCATTACGTATGATTGAATGTTTACGTAAATCGCTCATCCCACTGAATGCCAATCGTTAACAGGTGCAGCCACACCCCTCTTAATATTCACCGCCTAAACATATTAACGGTCTCCTAATTAAACCTATACACGAATCTGGAACCAAACCGCAGCACAGCCTCAACTGGCGAAGATCCAACCAACATTCCACTTATTATATTCTATCAGCAGACGCTCTAAACGTATTCGTGGACATATCACGTAGGCTACTACTGGCAATTTTAACCAATCACAACGCGACAATTCAACTTAATAGCTTAGGCCACGCCCAATCACGTCACCGCCTATTACAGAGCGTGTAACGACGCAGGCTTTTAACTCCACGATGATAACCGATCGACGCGTCTATCCCTTTCTATTATAGAGCGGTGTCCTGCTCTGATTTACCGATTCGACGTCTAGGACGAGTAATAGAGTCTCGTTTGGCGCGTGCTTGGTTTCAGTTGCACGTCCGAGGTCGAAAGAGGGGGACGCGTGCAACTGCTTTCGATAATCGGCCGCGCGTTCGGTACGTGAAAATCGGACAGTTCACAGCCAGTCACGTAAACGTAAAAACGGATATATGCCCAGAATATTTATTAAGTGGGTGGTTGTGCGTGACTTTTCCCTTGTGAATAGCTAGCCCAGTAAATGATCGGACGCGAAAATAGAATGGTTTGTTTGATAACTAAAGACTTCCGCGCCTGAAAACACCATCGCAGCTTATTTGCGACATGTTAACTGGCTGACTGTTTCGGGACTAAACTGTGTTATGTGAAATGGACCTCTTATTCGAATTTTGAAATGTGCGCGTTTGGAATCTGTTTTGAACTCGAATAAAATAAAGTGACAATGTTGCCATATCAAGCTGTGGCTATGGACTATGTAGCAGGGTTCCCTCATCACCAGCGGCCTGGTGGGTTGCCTGGAGTGATGGGCCTGCCGGGACCAGGCCCAGGGCTGAATCCAGGGCTGAATTCTGCCTTCACCCATTCCTGGTTCGTACAGACAAGCCCGGATATCTGTCGGCAGCAACAAGCATCCAACCAATCGCATCTTGAACCTGGGCACGTTTCTTTTTTTATTTATACTTTAATTTTTATTTACAACTTTTATAGTGAATATAAAAGGTTGATTATTGATTAAATATTTTAATTGATTTTGTATTTATTTTTAAATAGTAACAAGTGGAATTTTGAATGGAATTAATATCAATAAACAATCACAATATTTAAAAATAAGTCGTAGCAATGTGGCAATTATTTTTATTTGCAATTTTATTGAAAACGCTTCGTATTTATGTGCTTTTAAATTAATCAACAAATATTTCGAAATGAAGATGAGATTGAGTATTGAGGATAAAATTTTAGAATGTGTTTTTAGTAATTTAATTTTTTTACGATTTCTAATAAGAATCTAAAATCAAATTTTAAATATTTATTAAATATTTCTTTTGGCGAATTGAATTCAGTAAAATTAATCCCTTAATATTGGGAACTTTAAATCTGGAATTTAAGAATGTTAGTACAATATTGATCGATACAAAACATAAATTTAAATAAAGAGTTAAGTTGGCGCCTGGTAGTTAGGACCGGTAACCCCACAGCTGGTGCTTTCCTGGCTCATCGAATAAGTATCGCAATACAGCAAGGAAATGCTGCCAGCGTTAAAGGTACACTGCCACCGGGACCAAACTTTTTTATTTTTTTTTTAATTTTCTTTTTTAATTATTTTTATTATTACTATGTAGGTTAAGAAAATTTTAAAAATGTAGGTACTGTACATTTGTTTGTTATTTAGTTCAATGAATAAAATTGTGTTACTAAAACATAAAAATTAAGAATAAGAAAATTTTGCGTAAAAGTTGACTAATTGCAATTTTACGCAATATTTACATTTGCTATTCAAAAAACAAAACAGGACAGAGCGAGTTTAAATTAAGATTTTATCTGAGCATGACACGAACAACTGGTCATGCTCTAAGAAAATGTAGACTTATGTAAAATATAATGAATAAAAGAAAGCATTCATATTCATATTTAAATAAAATTATATATTAGTTTTACGTTATTTCTTTTTAAAGAGAAAAGTAACACAAATGTGATAGTATCTACTTGTTAAGTCTTCTTTTTAGAGTTGTTCGATATTTAAACTCACGTCTCTACTCACAATTTGACAAAACATTCGAAAAAGTATTTACTTAAAGTGATATTTTAAAATTTAGAAAGCTTGTTTTCATCTAATATATAAAATTCTCGTGTCGCGGTGTTTGTGGTTAAACTCCTCCGAAACGGCTCGACCGATTCTCATGAAATTTTGTGTGCTTATTGGGTATGTCTGAGAATCGGACAACATCATTTTTCATCCCCCTAAATGTTAAGGGTAGCCCTAAATATTTTTTTTTTTTCAATTTTAGATTAAATTTTTTTTTATGATACAGCATTAGTAAATACATATAACCCTGAATTTTCGACCCTCTATCACCAAATTAGATCACCTTATTTTTTATTTGTTAATTAAAGTCTTATGACTTGAACTCTGAGGTTTATATATAGAGAAAAAGGTAGGCTAAGTAAAATCACATTAAGGAGAAACGAAGTTCGCGGGGGCAGCTAGTAATACTATAAATATCGTTTATGTTAGACAATTAAACTATCTACGAAACATTATTAAACTCTACATACACAAATGCGGAACAGATCTAAATCTTTTTATGTCTTAAACAAAGACAATACACGCCGTAAAGTAACAATATACAGGTTAGCCTTCGTAATTTGTCGTTTTCCCAGAAATACACATAATGAGACATGTTTAATACAAACATGTATTTAAATTGGCTTGTTTCATTGAGGTTTTTGATTGTTGACAGCGTTTTGACATAAGATAAAACTTTTTAGAAATATACGAATACATTTTTGAATCATTAGTTGCATATTTGATGTCAATGTGAAAGCTTTGATTAAATAACGTAACGGTCGTAGATTTAAGCGGGCCATAGACGGACCGCATGTTGCAGTCAAGACCGACTGCAATATGCGGTTTGCTCAGGAACTGCTCGAGCGGTCCGTGTATTGCGGATATGAATTTAGTATGGAAACTGCAGATCGCCGTGCGGCGACCGCATATTGCAGTCGGTCTTGACTGAAAATGCGGTCCGTCTATGGCCCGCTTTAAGCTTAAAATACACGCCTTCAAAAGATTTAAAAAGAAAATTCTGATATTTTGCGGCATAATACAACAGTACTAGTTCAGCTTTTGGCCGTTATCAAGTCATACGTCATCATCAAAGATACCTTTGCACTAGAAATCTTTTCTCTTAACAGAGCCACACTGCAATATTGGTTAGTATAAAACGAATTTCTTTATAAGTTTTGTACTTAAATCATTATTTTTTTTAACGAAATTGGTCATTTTTAATTCAATTATGGTAAAAAATATAATTCAATGAATAAAATTGTATTAAACGCTTACGCAAAATATTTTTTTCTACAACTTTCTACAGCATTTAACTAAAGAATACAGTAGTAAGACATCATGCTACGTTTTATAATCGAATTGGAAGAGGAAACTACCAATTTGCCGCCTGTTTTTTATCGAACTGAGATTATTGAAGACGCTTTGAGCGGTTTACTGACCGTTAGCGGTTAGTAAATTGACCTAAATGTTTATTATTTTAAATCAATCAAATGAAATTTTTGTTAATATTTAGAACGTAAAAATGCACACCTTTTAGCTACTAATATATATATATATATATATATATTTAATAGGCGTTATATTAATACCCTTTTATCAATTAAACTAAATCAGTCTTATTCAAGTGTTTAACTTCAACTCTAGTGCTTTACACTTTAAGTTGAATGAAAGAAATCACCTACTTGAAATATTGTAATAAAGTTAAGTTTTTACATATAAGGCAGATCTTATGGCTTGATTAAGTTTGAGACAAATTAATCTAAATAAACTAAAATGTACGTATAGGACATGTATTAGTCACTGATCTCTGAAAGTTGTACTGATATCAAAGGTCTAAGGGGAATAAAATCCATTACATTTATGAATAGTTAGTACTCAGTCATAATTAGCAGTGTCGATTCTGACTCTTAGGCCCTTTCCCGCTCCGCGTCGGATCCGGAATGAGTCATGAGAAAAATATCGGAACCCGGATTGCACTCTCCACTATATCCGATCCGACAATAATCGATCTTGTATATTTATCATGCAACACTTATATTAACTAAAACCCACATACTTTATTTTTTAATAAAACGTTCTAAATTCTGAATATGTATTTAATTGCCCTGCAATTTATTACTTTTTTATATTGTCTTCTTAAATATTATAATCTACTTAATAAATAATTCACTATGGTATAAAAATATAAATAAATAGCAACATAATTTGGTTTGGTCCAGGTTATCCAGATTCTTTCAAATTAAAGAAACTATAAATAAACCTGTGAATATTAATTTAAACTTTGATACTTGGACCGATAAACACCGCGTTCCGATCTAGCAAGTATCGGATCGTTAAAACCGGATGCCGGAGTAGTGGAGAAGCACGTAAGTACTGTTGTGAGTTTCTAAATCGGTCGGTAATTACGTTTGCCGGACCGGAGCAGTGGGAACGGCCTCTCTCTGAGATGCAAGTTAACGTTAAGTGTGACGTTGTATGTCAAAAACGTATTAAATTAACTCGTGGTTTATATCGGCAATGCAGAAATATTCACACTTAAGTAAAAAGAAAAACCATATAAAAAGACTCTAAAGTGTTTCAAATTCTAAACATAATTGTTTTTCTATGAAACATCTGTTTTTATTCTAGTCAGATTCCTTTGTTCACACATGCACTCATTTTATCGTTTAGTTACGCTCCTTATTTTTCAATTTAAATATCTCAGACAACGGATGCTGGTTTTTTGCTGTTTTTACTTAGAAATTTTGATGAAGTGTGAAAATAGCCTTTGATTCTAAGTGAAAGAACAATATCCCGTCCTTATACAAAAGCCATCCATGACCCAACCCTTTGTCAACATTTTGATCTTTCCTCTATAGACTATGATGTTATTAAATTTATCAAAGCAATAAAAAAAAACATTTTCATTGCATTGGTAGGTGACAATATATTTTTAATTTTTGTTTTAAAATTGTTAAGGAAACTTTCTACTAAAACTACACTATTATTATTATAAGGAACATATAAAGTGATAAATTAAAAGATTTCTAAAATAATATTAATAAATTCTAACTTCAGTAACTCATTCATCAATAGTTCATGCTCATTTTATTTAAAGGCATCCCTGTAAATTATGACAACAAGAAAAATATCTATATTTTATTTGTAAGACATATATATATATATTTGTCTGATGATAGACAAAAATCGTATTCTTATAAACTAGTAAAAATGCATACATTAAGGTTCTACCACAATTGTCAAAAAAAATAATTTTCGATTCTTTTACGGTGGTTAAAACCACTTCTGTTTTTAAATTCCCTGCGTAGTTTCTCCAACTATACATATATAATTATATATATATATATACTAGTCAAATAGATCGTAGACAGGTTCAAGTTTATTATATGTATAGATTACAGTAAAATTCAATCAGTGCACCTGATGGCACAAAAAATGGAGGCGAATAGAAAAAAACCTTACCTCGAATTGTACTGTGGTGTTTGTCTGTGAAAGGTGTTATTTTGACCTATGATTCACAGTTTATATGACACATTTAATCATTTGTCTTTTGATTTTCTTTATTTCGTACGCGAGGAAAAATATGATTTATACTACTTATTAGATTGGTAGAAAACATTTTGTTGCATTAATCCAGTACAATTAAATAACAAGGAGGGCCACTGGCGGTCTTATCGCCTTCGAGCGATCTATTCCAAGCACCCACAGTGAGAAAAAAATAGATAAGGTGAGCGCAAGAATTGCAAAACTAAGCTAACTAACTAAAATAAGACATAAAATTACTTAGACAAAACCAATGAAAGGGACAATAAAAAATATATCCAAATACACTTAAACGTAACGGAAATATAATAATATTA